ATCACGCGTTGCGTAGCCTTGTCTGACGTGATCACGCGTTGCGTAGCCTCGTCTGACGTAATCACGCGCTGCGTAGCCTCGTCTGACGTAATCACGCGCTGCGTAGCCTCGTCTGACGTAATCACGCAATCACGCACACACAAAAATCAATTTTTGTGAATTTAGAAAAGTTGGATTTTAAAAGTTGACTCTAGAACTGGGTGGAAACAGGATTAGTGAGTCCTGATGCAGGTCACATTTAAAACGTGAACGTTCACAACAACAGATCAGAGTTTTACAAAAACAGATCTGAGCGTTAAGACCTGCAGTGTGAACGCAGCGTCACAATCAGCTGTTCACTTCAGACTGGTCCAGGGACGGGTTTTTAAAGACCTGGTTCAGGTTCAGGTCCATCCTGGAGCTGTTTTCTGTCTGAAACCCTGAAAGACCTGCAGAAAGTCCAGTCCTGTCTTTAAGGTGTGTCCTCTGGACTCTGATGGTCCCTCTGAACTGGTCCGTGTCTCTCGTGTCCCAGCAGGCGAGGGAGACCGAGACATGGATGCCCATGAGCACCACGCAAACGGCCGCCATGTCCACGGACGGAGACAAGGCGGAGGCATCGGGAGACTCTTCCAACGACTTCGGCTTCACGGATGACGACGATGAAGATTACTACGAAGACGAGCTGTCTGGGTCCGGAGACGGAGGTGGGTTCTGACAAACCCTGAGCGGTTTGGACCCGGGTCACTGGACCGACAGGTTCTAACAGTTTGTCTCTCCTCTCCTCAGAAACAGATTCAGCTGAAGAAGAGTCCACAGTGAAGGTGAGACACGTCCTGCTGGGCTCTTAGTCCGCTTCACCAAGTCCTGGTCCAGTTAGAGACCAGAGAGAACTGGTCTTGCTCGGTTCTGATGGTTCTGTTTCCTCCGCAGCCCATCCTGGATAACCACATCCCCGGGCTGGAGCGCACGGTGCGACCGACCGTCAACGAGGAGGAGCTGGTCCGGAACCGCAACGAAATCTTTCTGAAGAAAGGAGCCGGGTCAGTGGACGAGAACCCGTCCAACGTCCTCATGTCCCAGGCCACAGAGGACAGCATCTTCACCAAGACGGAGGTCCTGGCAGGTCAGTGCAGCCCGGTCTCATGGGTTTTTATAAAAACCAGTAAAAACACAGCAAGTCAGGAGCTGAGGAACTGGTTTCTCAGGGTTCCTGCAGGTCCTTAAAAAGTCTTAATTCATCGATCCAAAAATAAGACCTTGATTAGCCTTAAATAAGTCTTAATCTTTCAGAAGTGTTAAAATAAAAACATTGTAAGTTGGATGAATGTAATTCATCTCAAGTACTAAAATAATTGGTAACATTTATTTTTAAAAACGTTCACATTCAGACAGTCCTCTCTGACATCACTTCCTGTTGCAGACATTCCTCTCCGACATCACTTCCTGTTGCAGACATTCCTCTCTGACATCACTTCCTGTTGCTTCACATGCAAACATCTCAACAACCGTTCATCTGAGCGACGTGGAATTTGTTTCATTAATGTTAATAATGTTGTCTTTCCAAAAATACATTCATATTTCTTACAAAAAAAAGCTGATGTCACAGGCGCTTTAAGGTTTCATCTACAGTAAATTGGGGTTAAGGCCCCACTGAGGGTCCTAAAACTCCACATTTTGGGTCGTTGGAGGATTTCCAGGAATTAAATTAAGTTTAAAACTGACTGTAAGAATGTTTTTACTACAGTTAGATACGATTAAAAACAGTTGTTTTATTAGGAATATTTGAATAATTCAACCAAATTTTGATTCATGAGTTTCTGACAGTTTTTATTTTTTGTCTTTTGTGTTATTTTGAAATTAGTCTTAAATTTAATTTCACTTGGCGTTAAAACGTCTTCAGGTGAACTTGTCTTAAACTGTAGGAAGGTCCTGCTGGAGACCTGTCCTCCGGGTTCAGGGGGTCCGGTCTGTGTCCTCAGGGTTCAGGGGGTCCGGTCTGTGTCTTCAGTGTTCAGGGGGTCCGGTCTGTGTCTTCGGTGTTCAGGGGGTCCGGTCTGTGTCCTCGGTGTTCAGGGGGTCCGGTCTGTGTCCTCAGGGTTCAGGGGGTCCGGTCTGTGTCCTCAGGGTTCAGGGGGTCCGGTCTGTGTCTTCAGGGTTCAGGGGGTCCGGTCTGTGTCTTCGGTGTTCAGGGGGTCCGGTCTGTGTCCTCAGGGTCCAGGGGGTCCGGTCTGTGTCTTCGGTGTTCAGGGGGTCCGGTCTGTGTCCTCGGTGTTCAGGGGGTCCGGTCTGTGTCCTCGGTGTTCAGGGGGTCCGGTCTGTGGTCCTCGGTGTTCAGGGGGTCCGGTCTGTGGTCCTCGGTGTTCAGGGGGTCCGGTCTGTGGTCCTCAGTGTTCAGGGGGTCCGGTCTGTGTCCTCAGGGTTCAGGGGGTCCGGTCTGTTTGTGACGTTTGTTTTTTCGTCTCCAGCTCTGATCGCCGGCGCCGTGGGCCTGATGTTCGCCGTGCTCCTCATCCTCCTGCTCATCTACCGCATGAAGAAGAAGGACGAAGGCAGCTACGACCTGGGGAAGAAGCCCATCTATAAGAAGGCCCCCACCACAGAGATCTATGCATAGACCCTGACCTTTGACCCCGCCTCCTCCCTGACCCCGCCCACCCCCTCCTCTAAAAGCCAATCAGGGCCGACGTGTGGCCTCGCAGTGCCTCATCATCACCATACCTCCTCACCTTTCCTTCAGCGGAGCCACGCTGGAGAACATTTGACTCCTCCCCCCTGACGTCTCTGACCAATGGGAGGCTTTGTTTCCTGGAGAAGGACTTCCTGTGCTGCGGCACGCTGCCAGCAGCTGACTCTTCCTTCGTTCCTCCAGTGAAACACCACCAGATCTTATTTATTCTTCCTGAAGCTGAAGCGTGTCACGTTACTGTAGACCACCTCTGACCTTTGACCTTTGAGAAGCAGCTCTGCTCTCACTTTGCTTCATGACTCAGCCATTATTCTTTGTTTTTATTAAAGCCTGGGCTTTGAGCAGCGCTGGGTTCTGTTCTGTAAAAGGCTGATGGGAGGAGCTTCTGATGCTCCAGTCCTGCAGCAGAGCAGGTCCGGTTCTGAGCGACCCGGGTCACAGCAGAGTGCCGCTGCTCGGCCTCGCTGTGACTTACACAGGTTCTGAACCCAGTAGAAACAAACCAAACCAGTTACTGTAAGGATTAAATTAGTTTCTCTAAGAAGCAGAACTGAATCTGAGTGTTCAGAAATTCAAACTGAATTCATTGGTTTGAAAATAAATATAACTGAATCAAAACTGAATTTAAAGTTTTGTATCTGAATTAATTTTCTTTGAAACTGTATTTTGGTTTATTAAAACTTCAGTTTGACTACTTTCACTTTCAGTTCCATAATTCAGATMTTTGTGTCACATCCTGGTCCTTGAGAAAGCCAGGCAGAGTAATCAAACACAGATCCACAGATTTATGTTTCACTTTGGTGAAGTTTCCCTTCTGGATGTAACAGAGTTGATGCAATCCACTGTAAAAGTGACAAAAACACACAAAGTTATTTTARTGCAGTGATTAATTTGACCTATTTGTAGAAAATGTTACATTTACATGATGACATCATGGATCACATGTTGATCAGATGCTGCTGACTGATCCATGATGTCATCATGTAAATGTAACATTTTCAGTTACATCATTGACAAATTCATTTTCAAATTCTGATCATTCAGATTCAGTTCCTGCTGACACAACATTGATCCTGAACAGAACCTGGTTAAATAAAGAGTTTCCTGTTTGATCTAAATCTGTGAGCCTTCACATCGAAATGAGGATTAAGTCAAATTAGGTCAAAATGACCTAATTACATTTTCAGATTCTTGTCTTTAAAAGCTACATTTTGATACCTGGATCATTCTGATATCATAATTAAATCCATATATATGACTTAATTTGTCTTGTTGGTTACAATAATACATAAATATTTGGTCTGAATCCTAATTTTATCTCATTTTAATGAGGAATTGTTGATGTCCTTATAAAGAGGAAACCTCACATTATATTTGAATATTGAGATTTATCAGATAAAAAGAAACAAACTTTACTAACTCACAGGGAAAATCTCAACATTTTAAAGTGTTTTTCCTCAAAATCAGTTTTTTTGTTGTTACTGCTCAAAAAAGTGCTTCAAATTTTAGTTTTATGATTATATTTCAGACAGTTCATTCAAATGATACATTAATAAGACTTTTATTAATTTTATTTTGACAAAATTATATTTTTGTTAATATTTTAGTCAAAAACACTATATTTGCCTTTTTCTCCATAAACAACTTTTAGACTTAATCCTCATTTCGATGTGATGGATCACATAATCTGTGAATCTTCAGCAGCTTGTTTTATCTACAGGGTTCCCACGGGTCCTTGAAATCCTTCAAAGTTTGTGAATTTAAAAATATATATTTCAAGGCCCTGGAAAGTTTTTGAAAAGTGCCAAAAATTACACTTGTCCTTGAAAGTCCTTGAATGTTTTTTGGGGATTGAAATTCTCTTTTCACACGACTGATTTTCATCATCTTTTTAAAAAAAATTATGAAAATAAACAAAACAAAACTTCCATTTGTTGCGGTGATAACTCAGGATTACAGTAAACTGAGATTAACTGACGTCACGTTCAGTTTTTCTTTGAGTTTACGACATTAAACCTGTTTATTGTAACATTCTGCGGTAGCAGTAGATAATTGGTGTGGTTCAGTTTGAGGAAATTGGTTCTGGAAAGTCCTTGAAAGGTCCTTGAACTAGATGTTGACCACGGTGTGGGAACCCTGAATGTTTGTTTTTTAAAGAGAGTTAAAGTTGGTGCTAAAAGGAGAGTTTTTCCTGTCAACAGTCAGCTGGCTGCAGAGCTGACCTTACTTCTCCTGCCCTGGTTCAGTTCACCTGTGAAGCGTTTCCTCAGCCTTCAGGTGGTTTTTATTCTCTCAGTTTGTGAAGCGATGGAGGTGCGTGACGCTCTTCTTCTCCTCTTCCTGTCGATAAGCTACGACTGTTTCCTGCGATCAGTCCGAGGGTCATCGAGCTGCTCTCGAGCCGCTCACATTTCTCTGCTGGAGCTCCTGTAAATAGTTTCTCAGTAAACAGATAAAGTCTATAAAACGTTGGTACTCGGGCGGCGTCCCGGCCGCAGAAATATTTACCAAATATTTAAATGCCAAATAGATTCCTGCAGCACGGTTCGAGTGATGGACTGTAAAGTTTTGATACTAACTCTCAGTCTTCAGTGTTTTTATTTCTCATCAGCTAGATCAAGTTTTTGTATTAATTTAACTGTCAAATGATTATTTTATTGCCTTCTTTCAGGTCGGGGTGTTTGGCCTGGTTTAAGCTGTTGTATATGTGAATTTAAAAGTTTTACACACTAGTTTTTAAGATTTTAAGAGTTTTAGTTTTGAAACTTTTTATTTTATAAGAGTTTCTATTATCTTTAGACTTCCTGCTTTTGTATTTATGTTCATTTCTTTGTGTTTTTTTCTGTGTAGAAGGATTGATTTTTGTTGTTGCTCGTGTTCATCTCATTGTTCAGATGTGATGAGTCGTGTTCACGCCAGAGCTGGAGTTTCAAAATAAAAGCCTGGAAACTTCCAGGGAGCGTTTCTGGTTACGGCTCAAGACTTCTGAGCTGAACAGATAAAAGCTCAGAGATCAGAGGAGAAGGTCCAGTTCTGGTGGGAACCCGGAGGAGAAGGTTCTGCTGCTTAATGTCAAAAACACCACGAGTGGATGGATCAGAGAAGCCCATGAATCATTGGTTTCTGCACGCAGGTTCTGATTTATTATTGGAAATAAAGCTATTTTTATGCACAATAACATCTGCTGTGTGCTTTGTTTGGTGCCTGAGTCTTTATTTATCCTGCAGGAACAAAAACTACATGATGGAACCGGTTCTTCCTGTTCGGCTTGTTTCTATGTTCCAGCTCTGAACCTTCAAACTAAAAGCGCAGAGTTTATTTTTCTGAGTGATTCACTGAAGAGACAGACGGGCCTTTACAGAGGTTCTGTTCTGAGCTCCACCTGAACAAACACACACACACACACACACACACACACACCCCTCCACCTGAACCTGGGTGTGAGGAAAACATGAGGCATGACTGTTTGAGCTGGAACACTGCCTCCGCTTTCGCCTGGTTTTTCCCGGCAGCCTGACGGGCAGCAGCACGCCTCCTGGACCTGCAGGAACATCAACAACAAACTCACTGAGGTCAGTGGAATATTTTACTAACAAAGATGAAGCTGCCTGTCAAACCCACACAGACAGGTGAGTCTTGAGTGACCTGCAGCACTAAATATTAACTGCACTAACCCAAAAGCACTAACTCAAGTATTTATGTCCTCTAATTCTAAAGCACTAACTCAAATATTTAGGTCCCCTAATTCTAAAGCACTATCTCAAGTATTTAGGTCCCCTAATTCTAAAGCACTAACAAGTATTTATGTCCTCTAATTCTAAAGCACTAACTCAAATATTTATGTCCCCTAATTCTAAAGCACTAACTCAAATATTTGTTCTCTAATTCTAAAGCACTGACTCAAGTATTTAGGTCCCCTAATTCTAAAGCACTAACTCAAGTATTTAGGTCCCCTAATTCTAAAGCACTAACTCAAGTATTTAGGTCCCCTAATTCTAAAGCACTAATTCAAGTATTTATGTCCTCTAATTCTAAAGCACTAACTCAAGTATTTAGGTCCCCTAATTCTAAAGCACTATCTCAAGTATTTAGGTCCCCTAATTCTAAAGCACTAACTCAAGTATTTATGTCCTCTAATTCTAAAGCACTAACTCAAATATTTAGGTCCCCTAATTCTAAAGCACTAACTCAAATATTTTATGTCCTCTAATTCTAAAGCACTAACTCAAGTATTTATGTCCTCTAATTCTAAAGCACTAACTCAAGTATTTATGTCCTCTAATTCTAAAGCACTAACGCACTGAAAATTTTAGAAAAAAGTTCGTTCTAAAGCACTAAAATAACCCAGTTGAGACATAAAACTTTCTTCAGAGTCAACATAAGACATTGCTTACTGTGTGCAGGATGTTGTCACCTGGTGGGCCTGATCGGAGTCATCTGCAGGCCACATTTGGCCCGTGGGCCTTGAGTTTGACATGTGACCTTGTAGATAAGTGACACATATGACCAACACCTCTGACGGTGTTCACCCTCAGCTGTTAACAATGTTGATCAATAACATTTATAGACCTCAGTTAGTGCTTCTAAATTCAGCCCAGAAATTTAGCAAGAGCTAATCCACTATGATTTGAAGAAATAGCAAAAGCCCTAAAGCACTAATTGAGAAATTTGTTCCCCTATTAGTGCTTTAGTGCTTTAGGGGAACTGTGCCCACCAATGGGAGGGAAGGACAAACCTGAACCCTGCTTGGGGCGCCAAGTGTAAAATCATATTTTTTATTATTTAGCTCATTTTTACTAAATGTTAAAAAATATATTTAAATATTAAATCCTGAATCTTTATATTTTAAATATTCAGCAGTGTTAGAAGCTTTAGCATACGTTAGCATCAGATGATACTATCCACTGCTAACACTGATAAAAATAATATTTAAAGAGCCTGTGATGTGCAAATCCTTCAAATACAAAAACTCTAAGAAATCATTATTATATTTAATAAACTTGGCATAATACACATGATTTTACCCATTTTATAATAATAAACATAACCAGCATATTTTCTGTTGGATTTAGCTCAACCAAAATGAACCAGGAAGTGACATCAAAGGGGAACCGTCTCACTCTGGTCTTTGTTTGTTGAAACATTGTTTGAACTCTGACTCTTCTTCATCTCTGAAAGACTCAAAACGGTCTAAACAAACATCAGATTCTTCTCTACAGTTTGTGATGTCAGACATTTTATCAACGCTCTGCTCACATGCAGACATTCCCCTTTGACATCACTTCCTGTTGCTTTACATGCAAATATCTCAACAACTGTTCATCTCAGTGGCGTGAGATTTGTTTTGCAACATCTTATCAGTGTTCTCTTTCCAAAAATGAATTAAAATTAATGTCAAGAATTTGATGTCCCAGGCACTTTAAATCTAAATTGAAAATGTGTTGATAAGAACAGTCGGGGTGGTCCCTGTGGTCCAGCAGTTTGAAGTGCAGCTCAGACACCAGACAGAACCACAGCTTTGATGTCTGCTAGCTTTAGCTGCGTTGGAGCTAGCAGTCGTCTCAGGATGATGACATCACAACATGAGCCGAGCATCAACAGCAAAGGCTGCGTTCCATTCCAAAACACCTAAATGTGAACTTCAACATAACTTTTACATTTAGGATTAAGATTTAATATTTTTAAATATATTTTTTAACATTAAATTTAACATTTAGTAAAAATTAGCTAAATGTAAGAACAGTGAGATAAATATGGTGAAATTTTTTTAAACATTATATATACAAAATATAATCATAAAAACACTTATTATTACTGCTCTGTGGTTCTGTTTCCTTCAACAGGTCCGGTTCTGATCCGACGGGCCTGACTTTCCATGACTTTATCTTTCGGCTCGTTTGCATTTAAACAAACTTTTCTTATTAATCTCATTTGAATGTTGAGAAGAAAAAGTCCAGATGAATCCAGATACGTTTTCAGCTGGAAGCAGATATTCCACTGAGATTAAACATGACTCAGCACTTTAACCTGTGCAGATAGAGCACAAACCTGCGACCTTCGTATTGTGAGGCCACAGCTCTGACCGCTGCACCACCGCCTTCTTTAACACATCAACAGTTTTTACACCGAAACAGATGAAACTCAGAGGAAGCTGAGGGTCGTAAATCTGTCGACGCCGTCTCAAAGGTCAGAGGTCAGGTGACGGGTGGGCAGGAAACGAGGACGTAGGTGTTTGTGTTCACACACACACACATACACACACACACACACACACGGCTGGGTGGGTTCAGTTTGTGGTGAACGTCAAACAGAAACCTTTAAATTAAATCGTATTTTCTGCCGTTTCCCTCCGTGTGCCTCTTCCTCGCTGCCACAGGTCGGCTTTTGTCTTCATGCAAAGCTCACATTCCTCATGGCCTCTGACCACACACACACACACACACACACACACACACACACACACACACACACACAC